GTATATTCCTACTACCTAAACAGTGCTTGCAGTACTATTTATGTAATGAGTATGACTGACTGAAACGTTCCCTTTGAGGAGAGCAACTTGGTTGAGGGCAGACAGCAGCAAGATCAAGATCCAGCTCAGTGTCCCAACCCTCAACCTTCCCACTTGTAGCCCTGGATTCCCAGCCTTGTTAATGATGTGAATTCTGACATGGGTGAGGGAAGTAGAGGAGGGTGGCTGCATGCATGGACACCCAGAAGCAAGGACAGGTTGGGGAGGAGAGGAGATGGTAAATCCTGCCATACTGGTTTTGGTTGTGAGGGAGTGGTAGAAAAACAAAGGGGTAAAAGACAAGGATATGGGACCATTTTCAATGCTTCCTTTACCTTTCCTCCTACACAGACTCTGTCTCCAAGTATTGTAATTCTCATTTAGCAATTTCTGTGTATCTCCACTCCTACACTTGCATCCTCCTTACATCACACCTGGGCTGTTAGAAATGTCGCCAAATGTACTGCTGTCTTAACAGTTTCCTTCCACTTACCCATTCTGCACCAGCAAGGGATTAAAAAATAAAAAAAAAAATTAAAAAATAAATTAAAAACCTTGGGGCATTTCCTAGCTCAGAAATCTTTACTGGCTCCTTTACATTGGGAAAGAGAAAGCAATTTACCCTGGAATACTCTTTTTATTTTACAAGTCTGCCAACTTTAGTACTCAATGAGTTGCTGAAAGGCAGACTATGCCCATCTTATTTGCTCTCTACAGTGCCTAGGGCAGTGGCTGGCAGAGTAGGTGCTCATGGAACAGTCCTTGTTTCACAAGCATCTCTCACCCATTCCGGTCTGTGTTTAGCACGATACTTACTCAACACTGTATGTTAGGGCACTTTATCATAAATACAAACAATGTGTTTTCTTTGTCATGTGTATACCTGTTGTCTGCCCTCGCTCTCTTCTACTTCTCAGGGCTAGTGCCCGTACTAGGATCACATTTGCTGTACAGAGATCCAATAATCTAGGTACGGAAGGAAGTCATTAAAAAAAACTGCAGACCACACAGTAATTGTACTAAGACAATTTATAAAGTTTCAAAAAGAGAAGGAAAAAAAAAAACAAAATCAAAAACCCCAAGAATCTGAGGACAAAAGGGCTGGGCTTCGGGTCTTTGTAAGTACCTGAAAGCAGACTGGTGGATTTGGGCCCACTTCCTAGGAGCCCAGTCTGAGGGATGTTACAGAGATGGTCTCTGACTTTAAGTTATGCTTACTGAAAAGATGACTCTTTTCTAGTGATCTGGGGACTATCTACAATCTTAATGCTTCGAGGAGACAAAAAGAAGGGTGGGGAATGGTGTGCCATAGAACTTGATATGCTTTATTTCTTGAAATGCAAGACAATCTTTGATCAGAATGGTACTAAATGATCTACTTTTTATGTAGACATTTTTTTTTAAATCACTACAGATACTTTGTAGGCACCTGTGTTATACCAACTAATTAGAGCACTTACATGTTATAGCTATATGCAATTTATAAATAATTAGTTTGTAAAGTGCTCTGAAAATAGAAAGTGCTGCGCAAGTACTCAGTATATATTAAAAGCCTTTGGTATGTAATCATTTTATTTAATGATTGGCTCTTTAAAAGGCATAGTGCTTTATAGCTGAACGAGATTCCTGATTTTAAATCATTAATATTAGTTTATTTAGAGTGAAAAGCTATTAGAGAGCAAATCAGAGGTACTGATCAAGTTATTTTTTCACAGTTTATGTAAATACATTTGACTCCTACTTATGTCCCTCATCCTTTTACAGAGCAATTCAGTCTTCCTCAGGTTTCGCAGACTTTATGCAGGTTCCCCCCACTCACACCTGGCTCTTGGGTTATCCTGCCTATCCTGCCTGTCTTGCCCTCAGTTTTTTCCTTTCCCCCTCTGCCTTCTGAAGTTGTTCTGTCTGAACCTGTGAGTTTATGGCTACCCTAAACAGAACCGAGCCAGCAAGCCACATTATCAGTGATGAGAAATCCTCTTAAGAGCAATGAAGCCATGAGCTGGGGAAGCAGTCACTGATGGGTGCGTTTCCCACACGTACTGCTGGTAATTACTTCAGTCTACTATCATCATCCTATGTCCACTAATTAAGCTTTGCTTTCATCTCCTGAAGGTCTTGGTTTAGAAGTATTAAACTTCATTTAAATAATCCTGCTTACCATCCCCACAGGGATATTCAGAGGCAAAATTTTAGATGAGGCAAAGAAATTTTTGATCCTTTCCCACCTATCCCCTTAGATCTTCCTTACATCTTCAAGTGTGAACTTCCTTACAATGACCCTGGCTTTCCAGAATCTCTTTCTAGAATACTCCCTACCCTAGAACTATGACTTAGACCTTCCCTCTTCCCTGCTCCCACTAACATTTAGCTCTCCAGTGTATCTTCTTGATTGGAAAACCCAAACTAAGCCCCTTTTCTATACAATGAGTGCTAATGTTTAGCCTTCTCAGGCACTAAACTAACATGTCCAGTGCCCAACAACCTCCTTGTTAATGCCAATCACCACTTTTCTGTCCTGTGTCTCATTCAACATTTTTTCCGTCTCGGAAAGCACTGGCTTTTCCACAAGTCTTCTCACTGGTTGCTACTTTCATACCCAGCCTTTAATGCTGACGTTGCCCAGGACTTAGTCTTGGGCCAACTTCATTTATCACACTCATTTTTATGGATTTACATCATCTTGATGGCAAGAACTCACGAAGTTTCTCTGTAGCTTAGATGTTTTTCATGGCCTCCAATTCACATATCCACTGTCTACCACATTCAGAATGGAATTTTGAGTCCAGTTACCTTTTCCACTTTTCAACTTATTTTTCCCCTTAAGCTTCCCATTGTAGTACTTTGACCCCAAACCTAAGTGGGAATATTTCCCCATTACCCACATCCAATTCCTGAGGTCTGCCAGTTCTATACCAATTCAGTTCTAAAATATATTTCAAATCAACCTTCTTTTGCCCATCACTAGCTTGCTGCCCTTCCAGGCTTATGACACTCTTACAGTTCTCTCAAATCATCCCTCCACAGCACTGTCCTGCCCTCAGTTTTTTCCTTTCCTCCTCTGCCTTCTGGGTATCAGGTATCAGGTATTCAGGTATCATTACCATTGTACTTAAAATCCAAACCCCTTACCACCCTAACTCTTCTTCCCACCGAATCCATAGCCTATGCCCTTCTTCTTGCTTACCATGCTACAGATAAGCAAATCTCTCAGTATCTTTAAATCCTCAGACTACCAGTTTTCTGCCTCAAGACCTTTGCACAGCTAGCCCACCAAAACACGTTCTCCTGGGGCGCCTGGGTGGCTCAGTGGGTTAAAGCCTCTGCCTTCGGCTCAGGTCATGATCCCAGGTTCCTGGGATCGAGCCCCATGTCGGGCTCTCTGCTCCGCAGGGAGCCTGCTTCCCTTCCTCTCTCTCTGCCTGCCTCTCTGCCTAATTGTGATCTCTGTCTGTCAAATAAATAAATAAAATCTTAAAAACAAAACAAAACAAAACACGTTCTCCTTTTTGCAGTTAGCTCCTTCTCTTCCTGTAATCTTCGGAAGAACATCCCTGACTTCCATACCAAAAGGTGATTTGCTTTTCATGTTTTCTATCTTGACCCTATATTTGTTTTCACAGACTTCCAAGTTAAAAAAAAAAAAAAATTCACTCCTATTATAATGTTTGCTCTAGGAGAAGAGGTCTGTGTCTCATCCAATACTGTTCCATCCCAGGGCCTGGTATATACCAGGTGCTCAATAAATACAGAAATATATTTATCTGAAGAAGTTGAGTGTAGGAATGTAGGTTCTAGGCCAGACTGGTAGAAAGAGGTCTGAATGAAGTGAATAAAAGGTTACATCCCTTAACAACCGACATGGATTTAGCTACTATTTTCTAATTATCTAGTACCTATCAGGCACTGTGCTGCAAGTCAGTAGAGTGGATAGACAATATAAGCACTAACAATAGCATAGTGAATCTAAGACCAGAAACGCAGGAGTAAAATGAAATCACATACAAGTGTCCAAACTAGGGTGGGAGTCTGACCTAGGAGTTCTTACCTACCCTAGGGCATAGCAGAGTAAGGGTGTTCCAGGAATATGGAACAGCAAAAACAAAGGCCCCAGAGCACAGAGTGCTGGGGGTGCGATGCTCAGGTTCAAAGGCTAACAAGAGATTTAGGGTGAAGTAAGAGTCAAGTTGGGGTAGAATAGATATGAGACAAGGTTGATGAGATTAACAGGGCAGTTCAGAGCCGGTTCACTAATATTTTAAGTTTAAAAAAAAAAATCATTTTCCCAACATGGAAATTTCCTTCTCCCCATCCTTATTGGAACTCTGAGCTATACTTAGATACCCACGTAAGGACTGAAGATGTTACCTGGTCATGCCAGTTTTCTCTTTTATAATATAAACTCTTGACCTACTTAGGTCCTTTCTGGCAAAATATTTTGTTAGTGTCCTGAAATTAAAGCAGCAAACTGGCATCTATCCTATAATATGCTACCACAAAGATGGAGCTAGATCCTACCTAACTCTCCTGTGAAACGAGAATTCTCACAAGTTTTTCAAGTTATTCCCCACCTTTGCCCAACCTACCAGTCAGAGCAAAAGATGCAATTCTCTCATGATTTACTAAAAATAATCTAGCAAGAAGCTAAGTCCTCCTCCCACTTCCACCTTTCTTTCTTTCTTTTTTAAGCTAACCACAGTCTGTCTGGAGCCATGCTCTACTGCATCTCTCCCTCTCCCCCAATCACAGCCATGAATGCATATTCTTTTGAATTCCCTTGATCAAAGCCCTTGTCTAGGCCTCTAATTTTCTTCTAGCTTTCTTACTTTCACTTTTGGCTCAATGAAAAGAAAAAAAAAACAAAAAACAAAAACAAAACCAAAAACCAAAAACCAAAAAAACCAAACAAACCCCTGGCACAGTCAATCTTCCAGATGAAGCAACAGAAACCACTCAAATTAGTTTAAATAAAAGAGGGAATTTATTAGATAAGTACAAAGGTTCTTGCGGGGATTCCAACAGCTGTAATGGGTCATAGCTAGAAGCACGCCTTTCTGAAGGACAGATCGTGTTGTGATTGCAAACTTCTACTTCTGGGTTTTGCAAGATCACGAAGAGAATATCCTAGAGGATGTCCTCCCCGTATAGTGCATAAGAGACTAGAATGTGGATTCATTTCTGCTTGCTTTTTGATCCTTATATTCCTTTATGCTGGCCTCAAACTTGTCCAGCACATGTTGGCAGACATTCATGAGCTCATTCAAGCCTCTCTGAAATGGCTCAACAGCTGGAAGAGCACCTCGAGTCTGAATGCGTAAATTAATTTTGCTCTCTGAAGGATGGGTTGTAGTGTAACCACAAAATTCCACTTCCGGGTTCTTCATGATCATGTAACGGAGAGAATTTCCTAGGGTATGGTCCTCCTCGTGCAATACAAATGTCACACAGTGTCTATCTGTTCCAGCTGCCTGGACCATTTCCAGGGCTGTCTTCCTCTCGCCTTCAGCCATTGAGGTCTTCAATCCAGATATTTTTCTACACACATATTTTTTATAAAAATGAGATCATACTGAATATGGTTTTGTAACTAGCTTTTTTTTCATTTACTGTATCACAATTGCAACAAATCACTCTAATGCACTCCAATTACATAGATTTATTTATTTGTATTAGCCCCTTATAATTCCTGCCTCCACAGACTCTATCAATAAATATTTAAGGATTGCCTCCAGTTTCGCCCTACTCCATCTGACAGTCCACATGGCCACAAGGGCACAAACATAAATGTTTGCTAAAATATTCTTTTGGCAGAATCACAAGAAAGGGACAGAACTGGGATAGGGTGGGCTCTGCTAGAGAATGAAAGGGTATTTAAAGGTATACAAAAACACAGATCTTCTTAAAAATTGGGGCTGCAGATCATCACCGTGCAGGCCCCACTATGGTTTCCATTTGCAGGAGATAAACTAGAATGGAAATTCTGCAAAGTGTCAATCAAGCAGGAGGGAGAAAGAGCTGAGCGCACGGAGGAGTGGCTTTATTAGCACTCTACACAGTAAGTTGGGCCACAGTTACAGGGGCTTAGGCCTGACGGAACGCACCAATACCAGCACTCGGCGAACGGAGGCCTGGTGCGTGGCCTTACGTTAGTTTTATTTACTCCTGCTGTTCTAATTCGGGTGGGCGGTTTAGAGACTTAACTCCGGCCTCATAACTTGTGCTCCCTCCAGGACACCTAGTTGTACCGAGGCGCCTCTACTCAAACACGTCCGTATGTCCTCCCCTCCCATCCCAGGCGGGGCCCCCTTCTCCCGCTCAAGCGCCCACTTCTCTCTCCTGTCCTTCCAGCCCGGCCCTCGTTGCCGGGCCGTGGAGGCTGAGGCCCCGCTCGGCCACCTGCCCCCCAGCCACCCGCTCCCGACGCAGGGCGCGGCCTGCTCCTCCCGCCCGCCCCCACCGCCCACCCGCCTCCACGGCCGTTACCTCTCCAACTCCTGGTCCTCTTCCATCGCGAGGACGGCTTCCGGGATCCTCAGGTGGTGCTGGCGGATCGGAGGCGCTAACCCATACCGTGAAACGTGCGGGCGAAGCAGGAAGGAAGGAAGGAACAACAGACGGAAGGAGCCGAGGACGGAAGGAGGGAGGAGGAGCCACAGCGGCGCGGCGAGGCCCAGCCGCTGGGCGGGGCGTGTACGTTCCGCCGGGAGGCCCCGCCCACAGGCCGGGCTCCGGGCGCGAGGAGGGCGTTGGCCGGGCGGGACTTGCTCACCTGGAGCTCTCGGAGCCAGTCAGTCCGCTGAGCTAGCGGGGATAGATGGGGTCGGTCTCCTGTCCCACCTCAAGGCCGAGACCCGCCTGTGGGCGTTTGGGTTCAGCCCTTGGCACCTCCGGCCAGGTGATGGCGAAGGGGGCGGGGCCTTACCTGCCGCCCCCAAATCACCTTTCTTCTTAGGGAGGAATCGGGCCTCTTTCAGACAAGCTTCTTGACCCTTCGGGCACTGTGTTACTCCCTGGAGGGACCCCCAAGCCTGGCAGGGGTGGGTGGTGGTGGTCAGGAGATGACAGGTTTAAACTATAGTTGATCAATACACTTTGATGAATTTCACAACAGAAAAGGTTTAATTTCAGATTGTGTTTGTCATCCGGGATCTTGTAGCTGCACACCTCAAATGGGTCAAAATAAGCCTTCGTTTTTATCTTCGTAGGGAGGAGCGAGAGTTTGGAAGTAAAGTGCTCTTCTCTCTCCTGCCCCCCGTCCTTTTTCTCCTAGAATTTTTTCTACACCTGTAATACGTACGTCCTCCCTTGCTCTGGACTTCCTTTGCCTTTTACCCTTTCGGCTTAAACCTCCTCACCTGCGGAGCCTCCCTCTCACCTTTGTTCCCAGGTGCCCCTGTCCCCGCCTTGGCAACCTTTCACCACCCGGACTCGCTACCCGCCCTCCTTTTTCCTTCCTACACCTCCTCTCTGCGTCGCCCCAGGTGTTCTTCACTAAAACCCTCCTTCATCCTTCCTCAATCTCCTACTCCCCTCGTCCTTCACAGCCCGATCAGTCCCCGTCCCTCGCACCTTACCCCAGAGTCCCCTCGCCCCAGCACACCTTTATTTCGGCTTTCCTGCGCCACCTGTTCTCTTACCCCCCACCCGATTCCCCTAGATGTTCACTGCCTCCCCCAGCTGTTCCACGCTCCTCGCCGCGGTCCGCGGTCTGCGGTGAGCGCAGATCCACTTCTTGAGCGCGTCTTCGGCGGGGGAATCAGGCGGGCGGCAGGGAGAGCCGAGACCGGGTGGGGGAGGGCCGGCGGCGAGGGGCGGAGTGGGCTCACTCTAACCCGGGAGTGACGGCCGCGGCCTGGCCCACCCCCTGAGCTCTCGGATAGGTGAAGCCGCTCTCTGGCCCGCCTCCTTCCCGCCCTGTGCTGCAGCTGGTTGGCCCAGGTGCGTGTCGGGTTGGGCGGCTCGGCCCCGGCGCTCGCCCCCGGGAAGGCAGCAGGGGCGGTTGAGAAGTGAAGTCTTGGCCAGAGTTTGCTTCTTGCCAGGAAATCCGCGGTGGTGGCAGCGGCTGCGGCGGTTCTCGGCGGAGCGGAGGCCGGCCGGCTCCCCGCTCCCTCAGCGGGCCGCGGAGAGCGGACCTGGCGCTGGGCTGCGGCGCCGCGAGCCGGTGCGCGCCCCGGGCGGCCGCGCTTTCCCAGTGAGTAACTTTATCCTGCCCGCCTGGCCCCGCGCCCTTGTCGCGGGTCCCGAGCAGCCGCCTCAGGTGCGGGCGTCGGCGGGGTGTAGGGCAGCGCCGTGCCGGGGGAGGCGGCCGACGTCTACGGCTTTGCTCTTCGCTCGCCCGGGCTGTAGGGGAACGTAGACCCGGACCCGCTGTGGGGCCGGCCGCGCTGGTGCGGGGAGGGAGGGACGGGCTGTCCTGAGCCGGGTGCCCGCCGCCGGCCAGGCGCCTGGGAGAGGCGGGAGGCCCCCGGCTGTTACCATTTGGTGGTTCCGGCCACTGTGTTGCTGCCCTCTGCGTCGTACGCTTTTTCCAGGAGGGGAGAGGTGGGGATGAGTTTCTTATTTCCTGTGTGTGTGTGAGAGGGGCACTAGCTGCCTTCCACTGGATCTTGTTCTCCAGGAAAGGAAGAGGGAGATACCCACCGTCCCAGCCTGTTGCCTCTGAATTCTCACCTTTCCCTGGAGGCTGGAGGGAAGGGAGAGCTCACATCTTCAAGGGGGTGATTTGAAAATATGGATCTCGATTTGGAAGCAGTTGCACACAAAGCACCATCCAGGAAAGACCTCAGTCGCTTCCAAAGCTTTTATGCCATATGTTCAGACAAGGACTTCTGACATAGGTAGTGTTTCTTCTGATGTTACAGTTTGCAGTTCAGGTCGGGAATCAAGACGTTCTTCTCTACGAGGAGCTACAGTACACGGAGGCATGGGCTCTTTAAATCACAGAAACCAGAAACGAAGTTGAGTGTAAAGCTGTGGCAGGAGACAGTTGCGAGCTCTGGTTTATAGGAACTGCCTTCACTTTAAGAATTTCACGTTCTTGCAGCAGTAGTACTTATTTGTCAATTGGCCTTCCTCCCAGGACAGATTTTTTTGTTTTTAATTTTTTCCTTGAGTGGAGTGTGACACAGCGCTGATGAAGTTGGATCTCAGTAGATCAATTTTATTTTCTTTGACAGATTTGATTCCATCTCCACAACCCTTTAGAAAATGGACTTTGATCTAGTATCCTTTTTGGCCCGTCAGAGCTTTGTTGGGCCATGAAAAACAAAGTTTGCCTTTTTAGCTTGTCCAAGTCTCACATGTGAGTTTTCCCAGAGGGGTAAAATGTAGGCCAAATCAGAACCAAAGTACAATAACACTACTTTTAATTTGGCCCACTTGTGTGTTAACATTCCTAATTCTGTATCTTTTTTCTCTCTTCTTCTCATCAAGTTAGAAAATTTTCATTATTTATTTATTCAGCATGCACTAGAGTGCCTACTGCCTGCTGTGTGCCAGACATGGATGGCCAGGATCAGTTCTTTCCCCACCGGTGATCACAGTCTTCCTTGGAAGCTGATCCACACCTGTTCCATTAGCTACCAGAAAGTAATTTGAATAAAGTGCTGTGGGGACTTAGAAAAGGGAGCATTTCTGCCTGGAGTTTGCTAGGGAGGACCTCAATTAGGCACTTCAGATGGATGTGGAGTTTTCGCAGTACATTCTAGGCAAAGGGACTAACAAGTAGGGTGTTGCATTATGAGATCCACATGTAGTTACTCTGGCTGAGGGGCGCATTGTTTGGGGTTGGAATAGCACTCAGGCGTTTGTGTATTATTCATTTCAGAGCACTTAGCACTTTGCCTTGATTACAATAGGCACTCAAATACTTATTGAACTGACCTGAACAGAAACATGGTGGATTTTGTGTGCCAAATGAAGAAATTTGGACTTTATCTACTTATGATGCAAAGCTGCTAATTTTATTTTTTTTAAAGATTTTATTAATTTATTTTAGAACGGGAGAGGGTGGGGGAGGCAGGTGGGGAAGGGGGAGAGAGAGGATCCCAAACCCACCTGAAGCAGAGCAGGGAGGCTTGCGCTGGGCTATATTGCGTGACTCTGAGATCATGACCTGAGCCAAAACCAAGAGCCAGATGCTCAACTGACTGTGCCACCGAGGTACCCCCAAAGCTCCTAACTTTAAATAGAATGTCATGGGGCACCCTGGGTGGCTCGGTTAAGCATCGACTCAGTTTCTGCTCAGGGTCCTGGGATGGAGCCCAGAGGCAGGATCTGTGCTCAGCGGGGAGTCTGCTTGAGGATTCTCTCTCCCTTTGCAAACCCTCTCCCAACTTGCTCATGTGAGCACTCTGTCTCTCTTTCTCAGATAAATATTTTTAAAAAAAGAATAGTACTTGGCATATAGTGAGGATTTGCTAGATGCTAGTTGTTACTCTGTGTGAAGGCAGGGGAGGTAGAGCTGATGTGGCATTGAGGAAGTATATTTGGTTAGACTAGGTAAGTGACTAGCTATGATTAATGAGAGGATGATTCCTAAGTTTTTTGACTTAAGGCGTTGGAGTGTACTGGTTAAACTGGCTGTGAAGTCAGTACAAAAGTTGAATTCCATTGCTTACCTGTAGAATTACCATCCTGAACTTTGGTTTCCTAACATTTAGGAAATAATCATAGTACCTGCCTAGTAGGGTTTGAGGATCAAATGAAATTACGCATAAAATGCCCTTGGCAGAGTACCTAGCATGTTACAAGTACTCGGTAAATATTGGTTGTTCCTTTAGTGATGATGACATTAATGAGCTAGTAGAATGTTGTAAGATATGGAAAGGAGTGGTTAAAAGTAACTGAAGGTGGAAATGGGGAAGAGAAGATAATTAGTTTCAATCAATCCAGTGAAGCGCTTCTGTGGAGACTTCTGTGATGAAAATGTTGGATAGATGTGCTGGGCAGGAGCTAGGAAAGAATGGAAAAAAGAAAATAAAGACTTTGCATAAAGCTTTTGTGAGTGTGGTTAGCTTTTTTTTTTTCTTTTTAAGATTTTATTTATTTATTTGAGAGAGAGAGAGAGTGAGAGAGAGAATGAGAGTACGCATGCACACACAAGCAGGGAACGGACAGGGGCCTGGGGAGAAGAGGGAGCCGGATGTGGGACTCTATCCCAGGTCCCTGGGTCATGACCCAAGCCAAAGGCAGACATTTAACCAACCCACATGCCCCTGTGGTTAGCTTTTTGGAAGATTAGAGGAAAGGGGAGGCAAAGGAGAGGTTTATAATATAGGAGTGGTAGGAGTGTTCATGTTGAATATTAGACATTTCTCCTTAAAATGCATTTTGGCCACCATCAGAGGGGAGCTCCGGGTTCATAATTTGGTTGGCTCTGTGCCCATCTCCTCCTCCTTTTTTTTTCTTTCTGATTGCCCCCCAAATAAAATTATTTTTTATTACGCAGTGCCATTTAACTTATCCGTGCTTATGGGGTTAAAATTCACTCCAGGCCCACCTTCCTGTATCAAAATCCAATAAGGTTTCTAGAAGAAATGAAGGTCTTATTTTGAAGGTTCCACTCAGGAAGCAGTGTTGGTTGAAAAAAAAGATACATGTATGTATATATGTGTGTGTTAAATATATATGATTTGACATGCAAGATATATGTACATATACATACATATGTGTG